AACAATTGGTAAGCTTCGCACTGTCCGAAGTAAGACAGCACGTGTGAGTGTATAGTTGAGGGATTCGGGACGCAAAATGGGAAGAGGTGCTTTTTTGCTTCTTTCTTGGTTCATAGTTTTTAAGGTCTTTTTGACAGGATAAAATTGAAGCCCAGGATCGGAGCCCTAGCACAAAATAGAGTGACATCACAGGATAACCATAAGATCATTGGTTGGTAACAACTGTTACTTTGACAGTCTATTATAAATTAGTTTCAGATTGAAGGCAAAAAGGGAGAAATATTTATGAATTACAAACTAAAAGATGACCAGGAAACAAAAAAGAACAAATTAAGAACTAAGTAAATAAAACGGAGATGCAGGCCCAGGAAATGTGTTGTACCTGCATAATATGGGATCTGGTGAACCCTATTATGGCTCACAGCAACTACATCTGTAACAAGTATTGGTTGCTTGAAGAAATCTGTCTCAGAGTTGACGAGCTGGAGAATGAGCTTCAAACACTGCGATACATCAGTGAGGGGGACGAGTTACCTGGATGCTGTGCTTCAGGGGGCAGTTACCCATTAGATTAATTCCTCAAATTTGGTAAGTAGTCAGGCACTAGAGGGTGTGACTACAAGTGAGGCAGGTAGAGGAATCCAGGAAGTAGAGGTGAAGGAGCCTCAGCCGTTGACCAACAGATTTGAGATTCTTGTTCCCTCTGTGACTGAGAGTGGGGTATGTAGGGAGGATGAACAAATTGATCACAGCACGGTGATACAGGGAGCCATTCAAGAGAGGGGAGAAAAGAAAAATGGGAGTTGTAATCGGGGATAGTAGAATCAGGGAAATTGACTTTGTTCTCTATGGCCAGGATTGAGATCCCTGAAGGCCCAGTTGCCACCTGGCGCCCAGGTTCAGGATATCTCATCTGGGCTGCAAACGAACTTGGGAGTGTGAGGGGAAGTTCAGTTGTCATGGTTCACGTGGGTACCAATGACTCAGGTAGAAAGAGGAAAGAGAGTCTGAGAGCATATGAGCAGCTAAGAGCTAAATTAAGAAGTACATCCAAAAAAGGTAGTAATGTCCAGATTACTACCAGAGCAACAAGCTAATTGGCACAGGATCAACAAGGTGAAAGAGGAAAATGCATGGCTCAAAGATTGGTGTTGGAAAAATGGATTCAAATTCATGGGATATTGGCAGCAGTACTGAGTAAGGCTTTCTGTCTTAATACAGGAAGCATTCAGAATAAGGTAGATGAACTGTTGGCACAAATTGAGGTCCCAAGGACTTTAAACTGGTTAAGAGCGGGAAGGCTTAGGCAAGGATATTAAAGTTTCCAGAACAAGTAACAGGAGAGTATGAAAAGGGTCAGTAATCTAACTTCAGGCACAGTAGATAAAGGGGCATCTATGAGAAGGGGCAGGGTCAACACAGACTTAGTGTGCTGTATTTAAATGCGTGCAGTATACAAAACATGGCAAATGAGTTTGTAGCACAGTTTGAAATTGGCGAATGTAGTGCCGTGGACATCACAGAGACATGGTTGCAAGGAGATCAGGGCTGGGAACTAAACATCCAAGCATTCATATCCTATTGAAAGGACAGGAAGATGGGCAGAGAGAGAATGGGGTTGCCTTGTTAGTAAGAAATTAAATGAAATCAATAGCAACAAGAGATAGAAGGTCAGAAGGCACAGAATCTGTTTGGGTAGAGTTGAGGAATCACAAAGTCAAAAAGACCCTGATGGGACTCGTATACTGGCCTCTGGATAGTCAAGGTGTGGGGAAGAAAATAAATCAGGAGATAGAAAAAGGGTGTAAGAAAGGCACTATTCCAATAATCATGAGGGAACTTCCAATAAGCACATGGATTGGAATATCAAGTTGGTAGCAGATCTCTGATACATTAAAAGGGGTGTATGGGTGAGGCCCACACTGAACCCGCTAACATCCATTTAACCATACAAAAATACTAGCAAACCTAGATGCCTTATTCACCTACCTACATGCAGAATAGCTTCCTGCATTAAGCGCTCATGAAGAGACAAGCAAGGCTACACCAACTTAGCTCTACATGATGTCGATTTAGGAAACATTCTTCCCATAAAGCCACATTGCCATTGGCTAAGACCAGAAAAGCTGCCCAAGGTTTGGGAGAAGATGAATTACATGTTAGTACCAATTAATAGAGCATTGCAGTAGCAGCAACTGGAGCCCTCCAGCTGTGCTCATGCCCAAGTGGATGGATCCACAATACTCAGTGATGACAATCAAAAAGGTAGCTCAGTGATTAGAGCTGACTCCTACCCGATATGCTATCTTTGAAGTCTTCTAGACAGGGTTAAAAATATAGCCTACATTACCAAAAAGAGTTACTCGAAAGATAAAGGCAGGTTCCCTTGACTGCCCAAGCGAAGGAAATTTCCACCGTCAAACTCCAGATACGTTATATCAATGTCAAGTCATGTCATGTGGATTCTGAAATACCCTAAACATTTTTTCATAGGCTGATGAACCAGATACTAGCATGCCTTTCTTAATTGTGTAGCATACCTAGAAGACCCCCTCGTACATTGACACCTGGGAAACATACTGGGCAACTGAAACCCACTTCCAGAAGAGACAGTAGGCTGACCTGGTGCGCAATCTTGGAAACAAGCTTATTGAGGCTCAAATGATATCATCAGGAAATGTAGTGGGTCAAGGACAATTACTGCCCTGGGCTGCAAAGGTATGAGCAGTAGCACAGTTACCTATCTGTACAACAAATCAGGAAGTCATGAGGTTCTTGGGGATGTGAGGATTATACACAATGTTCATTCAAAAACTCAACACAGTAGCTGGCCTATTACAGAAAAGGTAGTACGGACTGAGAAATGCCAAACCGTTTTTGAAAAGCTGAAGACCATTTTTATAATGAAAAGCATTCAGCCTGGAGCTCGGTGACTAGTGGTGTTCCGCAGGGATCTGTTCTGGGACCTCTGCTCTTTGTGATCTTTATAAATGAGTTGGATGTGGAACTGAAAGGGTGGGTTAATAAAGACAGAAAGAACTGTGGATGCTGCAAATCAGGAACAAAAACAAAGTTGTTGGAAAAGCTCAGCAGGTGTGACAGCATCTGAGAAGGAAAAAACAGTTAACGTTTCGGGTCCGGTGACCTTTCCTCAGAACTGAGTTAGTAAGTTTGCCGATAAACATGAAGGTTGGAGGAGTTGTAGACAGCATGGAGGGCTGCTGTAGATTGCAACAGGATATTGACAGGATGCAGAGCTGGGCAAAGAAATGGCAGATGGAATTCAACCCAGAAAAGTGTGAAGTGATTCATTTTGGAAGGTCAAATTTGAATGCAGAATACAGGGTTAACAGCAGGATTCTTAGTAGTATGGAGGAACAGAGGGATCTTGAGGTCCACATCCATAGATCCCTCAAAGTTGCCACCCAAGTTGATAGGGTTGTAAAGAAGGCGTATGATGTGTTGGCTTTCATTGAGTTTAAGAGGCGCGAGGTTTTGCTGCAGGTCTATGAAACTCTGGTTAGACCACACTTGGAATATTGTGTTCAGTTCTGGTGACTTCATTACAGGAAGGATGTGGAAGCTGTAGAGTGGGTGCAGAGGAGATTTACCAGGATGCTGCCTGGACTGGAGGGCAGGACTTATGAGGAAAGGTTGACGGAGCTAGGGCTTTTTCATTGGAGTGAAGAAGGATGAGAGGTGACTTGATAGAGGTGTAAAAGATGATGAGAGGCCTAGACAGAGTGGATAGCCAGAGGCTTTTTCCCAGGGCAGAAATGACTATTACAAGGGGGCATAATTTTAAGGTGATTGGAGGAAGGTTATAGGGGAGATGTCAGAGGTAGGTTCTTTACACAGAGTGGTGGGCGTGCAGAATGCGCTGCCGGCAGTGGTAGTGGGTTCAGATAATTTAGAGACTTTTAAGCGACTCTTGAATAGGCACATGGAGGATAGTAAAACATAGGGTATGCAGGGTAGATTGATCTTAGTAGGCACAACATCGTGGGCCGAAGGGCCTGTACTGTGCTGTGCTGTACTGTTCTACGTTCTATGAGTGCGTCTGCAGGATTAAACAAGCATTTGGCATAACCATTGATGTAAATGACATAGAGGAGGAGCTGTCCTCCTTCAGGAAGGCAAATCAGATGAGAGACCAATGGGTACTCCTCTAAGAAACTAAGGCAGCATCAGAAATAGTACTCCACAATAGAGAAGAAAGCAATTGGTTATTACTGGCTTTCGAACACTTTGAGATATACATCACAAATCTATACTGAATACAATATGTTAAAGTGTTGTGGAAAAGCTTAAGACAGAGAACCAGATTATCCCACTGAAGTTTGTTCTTTCAATCATACCTCCAAATATCACTGACAGGAAATCAAATGTGATTGCAGATGCCCTGTCAAGAACCTTGAGAGAACGGATTAAAAATGAAGAGATAACATTGTCCAAGGCTACAAGAACAAATGGGAGAGTGTGTATGTCCAATGTTTTATGTTATTTTGGTTTTTGTTTATAACAAAGTGAGAATGAAACATTTGTCACTAGTTGTGCAGTGGAAATGTCATAAGTCTTACGGACATATCCTGACAAGAATTATAATAAGACTTTGGAAAACTCACCTGGGGAGTGGGTGAACAAATCTACAATCTAATATATACAGTCAGATATATATAAATATAAGCGATAAAAAAAAACTGATCCCTCTCTCCTCCCCAGGATGGAGATCAATAAGCTCATTCTTGTCTACTGTGCAGCTATACATTGACTGCTAATATCACTTCTTTCTTAAGGCAGATCACATGAAGTGCTTGGCAAATATAATTTTCAATAAATGCCAATAAACACTCAAATCTCTTAACCAGGGACCAACTATACGAGATCACAACTGAAAATAACTTTCTGGGGTTGGCTTATGCTCCAAAATCAACCAGGTACACACAATAAGAATTACACCCTCAACAGCTGCACAGCTTTTGTGAATGCAACGTACTCACCTGTGGCAATTCCCATTCAGATTTGGATCCATCTGTACGATAGTAATATGGTCGGCCTTGATCATCAATATGTTTCATCCACTGAAAACAAAGACATTGTTTTACACTCTGGCATATTTGTTTGCAGGACTTAGCACTATCTTAATTTTGTATCAAAAAGAAAATGAAAAATACCGCTACTTTGTACGATTATTATTTTCTACAAAAGTTTGACTCCAAGTTCTCTAGGGCTGACAACAAATACTGAAAATGGGACAATGAAAATCAGCAATAATAAGCTTCAATCAGTTTAAGAAAAAAAAGTTGAGACTCAAACTGAAATTTTGATGAGAGAAAGTCATAGGTTTTTCTATCACCTGACTGATAATTTAATGACATTACCAGTCTAGAAACAACTTCCTCAACTTCTTGAAATACAAGTCAAACAGAAAACTACTATGACATGTGAAACTCTTTAAATCAAATTGAACAGTATGTGGAAATTGTTGATTTGGATATTACTGATTTACTTGCACTTAACACTAGTAACTCATTCATTATCGTCAATTGAAAATGGTGTTTAATTTTCAATCTTAATCAAATGAAATTACCAACGTACTGAACTCCACAACTACAATTTATAAGAGCTACACTGTCTTGTTTTTTTTTAAAAGAAACTGTAAGAGCAGACAGCTAAAGTGCAAATCAACTGAAGAGAAGAAATCAAAGTACCTTTTCATCAGTATATTCATTGACATACAAAGTGTGGCCATGTTCATCCATTTCTTCTGACCAACCACGTGGAGGTAAATCAAATTGATTATCTGTATGGCTGGAGTAAATGCTGCGATAGTTCTCTTCAGTGATGTGATGCTGGAAGCATTTAGAGAAGGAACATGTTGTGCTTTACGTGTCTGATTATGCAAGTTTCAGGCATTTGAGAATTGCTATTGTTATTTAAAAAAAACAGAAGTAAATACAGATTTCCCCTTGATAAATACTATCCCCTCAATTAAAAGGTGTGAGAAATGAAGCAAACACAATTCTCAGGGGTGACACGATGGCTCAGTGGTTAGCACTGCTGTCTCACGATGCCAGGGACCTGGGTTCAATTCCAGCCTTGCGTGACTGTGTGGAGATACCACGTTCTCCCACTGTCAGCCTGGGATTCCTCTGGGTGCTCTGGTTCCTCCCACAGTCCAAAGATGTGTCGGTTAGGTGGACTGGCCATGGTAAAATGTGGGGTTATGGGAATAGGTTGGGGGTCTGGGTCCGGGCGAGATGCTCTTCGGTGAGTCAGTGTGGATGTGATGGGCTGAATGACTTCTTCCCACGTTGTAGGGTTTTATGTTCTCCCAAAATTAGCACAAGAATCGCAGAGAGGAAAAAAAGTTTCAAACTTGTATCACACTTGGTGTGAAGGAATATTTCCCAGACATGCTCATGAAAAGCCCAGCTATAATTTTTACATTGTGCCTACTTATCTCAGAACACTTTCTGTCAACCCCATCTATCTAAAGCTTTTGAGAAGATTTGTAGCTCCGGTTGTAGACATGCTCATCCAGCTGGTGGGTTTGGTTGCAAACGTTTCGTTGCCCTGCTAAGTAACATTGTCAGTGGCCTCTGGTGAAGCGTTGGTGTTCTGTCCTGCTTGTTATTTACATGCCTCAGTTTGCTAGGGTGGTTGGTATTACTTCTGGTTTTGTTTCTCAGTGATTTGTTTGGCTTGTGCGATTATGGATGTGTTGTCCCAGTTGAATTTGTGTCCCTCGTTGTCCGTGTGTAGTGAGACAATTGAGAATTGGTCATGTCTCTTGGTGGCTAGTTGGCATTCTTGTATCCTTATTGTCAATTTTCTTCTGGTTTGGCCTATGTAGTGTTTCTCACAGTCCTTGCATGGTATTTTATATATTACCTCAGTTTTGCTGGTTTTGGGTATGGGATCCTTTACGTTCATCAGTAGCTATCGTAGGGTGGTTGTCGGTTTGTGAGCTACACATGGACAACGAAGGACACAGGTTCAGCTGGGACAACACATCCAGAATCGCACAAGCCAAACAAACAGAGACCCGCCAGGGAATTCCTGGAGGCCTGATATTCCAACTGGAACTCCATCAACAAACACATTGAATTAGACCCTGTGTACAAACCACTGAAAAACAAAACCGGAAATAATACCAACCACCCAGCAAACCAAGGCATATAAATAACAAACGGGGGACAGAACACGGACGCTTCACCGGAGGCACACTGACAAAGTTACCTAGCAGGTTGACAAAACGTTTGCAACCAAACCCACCAGCTCAGCGAGCAGGTCCACAACCTCATCCACAACCCGAGCTACAAATCTTCTTGAAAAACTTTAAACACCAATGGGCGCAACACCATCAAACTGGCCCGCAGATGGGAAACAAATGCCATCCGACTGAACGCGACATGCAAACAATTATACATCCTGCACGAATGCCTCAGAAAGCAGGTACTGCCACAAAGCTTAAGGTATAAATCACCTGTCAACAATCCATAGGCACGGAGGATAGCCGAACAGAACAGCCGCGGAATTATAAGGGTTATGATCAACGATATCCACAACCACCTCCATAAATACAAGCAGGAAATTGCGCACCAAAAAACTCTGTACTCCAACATAACCAACCAGAAATGGACATCCACACTCAAACAAGCCATCAGCAAAAGACCAGAACAAAGGAAAGAATAGCCTTTCAAGAAAAACTATCCAAAATCACCCACATCAACAACATGACAACACAGATTCATAGATTAAAAACATCTTGGACCGACTACTTACAGACACTGAGAAGACCATATTAGTACGTGGACTGAATTATGACTACAGAAACACCAAAAAGACTGATTTCCTGGCTGCGCTGGAATCAACACTAAAGAACAACAGAGCATCAGACAGACGTTTGTCCCAACACGGAGCAAAAAAGGAAAGTGGACAACATTCAGCACAGAAGAGGGGAAAGCCCTGGAAAGACTCAAGAAAGACAGGAACATTGTAATCTTACCAGCAGACAAAGGACGCATGACAGTAATCTTCAACAGAACCCAGTACATCAAGAAAACTAACACACTACTAGCGGATACCAACACCTACCAACAGATGGCGATAGACTAGATTACAACGACCCTGAAGAAATGACACAACTCAGGAGGCATCAGCAAAACAGACTACCAAAAAATGAAGCCAGGAGGATTTAACACACCCCAATTCTACAGGGGACCCCTCAGACCCACTGCCTCACTGCCAGGTACACCAACATATAGACTCACCAAAGAACTACAACAGAAATTGAAATACTCAGTGGACAACCACTCATTCCATCCACTCATCACAAGAATTCCTCAACTTCATCAAGGACACCAGGACAGAAGGGGACAAGATGATGATATCTTTCAACCTAGCCAAAGAAACAACTGCCACACTGCTGGATGAATCAAGTAAGCAGGCAACCCAGGACACCAACAACATCAATAAGGACACCATGAAACTACTAGATCTGTGCCTCACAATCCACTTCACCTTCAACAACAAAATATACAAACAAAAATCAACGAAACACCAATGGGATCCCCAATATCAGGGCTGATTGCTGAAGCAGTAAAGCAAAAGGTTAGAACGGACAGCGCTCCCCGTTATATAACCCAAACTTTGGGTCCGAAACGTAGATGACACCTTCGTGATTATTAAACGCACAAAACTAGAAGAAACCCACTGACACATAAACAACATCCTACCGGGATAAAATTCACGAAAGAAGAGAACAACAACCGACTTCCCTTCCTAGACATATTGATAGAATGCAAAAACAACAGGGAGCTCTAGACTAGCATATATAGAAAGACGACATGTACGAACCAGATCCTCAATTACACTACCAACCACCCCAACGCCCACAAATGAAGCTGCATCAGGACAATATTTAAAATGAGCCACAACACATTGCAGCAACCTGGAACTATGCAAAGCAGAACAGGAGCACTTATATGGAGTTTTCAAAAGAAATGGATACCCAAAACGCATAATGTGCCGTTACCTCTGAGACAGGCCACAACAGGAAGACACAATATGACCAGGCTCACTAATCACCCGACCATACATCAAGGACATTTCAGAAATAACCACAAGACTACTCAGACCCCTAGATATCAGAGTAGCCCACAAACCGACAACCTTGTATGACAGCTACTGACAAACATAAAAGGACCCCATACCCAAAACCAGCAAAACTGGGGTAATATACAAAATACCATGCAAGGTCTGTGAGAAACACTACATAGGCCAAATTGACAACTGAAAATTGACAATACGATACATGAACACCAAATAGCCACGACCAATTCTCACTTGTCTCACTACACATGGACAATGACAGACACAAATTCAACTGGGACAACTCATCCATAACCGCACAAGCCAAACAGAGACACGCCAGGGAATTTCTGGAGGCCTGCTACTCCAACCAGAACTCCATCAACAAACACATTGTACACAGGGTCTAATTCAATCACCCGAGAAACAAAACTGGAAGTAATACCAACCATCCCAGCAAACCGAGGCATATAAACAACAAGTGCGACAGAACACTGACACTTCACTGAAGGCACCCTGACGAAGTTACCTAGCAGAGTGACAAAGTGGTTGCAACCAAACACACTGGCTCACCAGCTCAGTAAGCATGTCTACAACCCCAATCCCATCAATCTCTGAAAATCTTGAAAACATCAAATCACTCTAATTACTTAAATTCCAGAGAATACAACCTTGGTTTGTGTCAACTCTCCTCATTGCTTAACCAAGTACCATGCAAGTAAAACAATGTTACACCCCCTCCAAGGCTACTGTATCTATGGTGTAACAAGGTGTAGAGCTGGATGAACACAGCAGGCCAAGCAGCAAAGCTGATGTTTCGGGTCTGGACCCTTCCTCAGAAAACTGAAGGGTCCAGACCAGAAACGGCAGCTTTCCTGCTCCTCTGATGCTGCTTGGCCTGCTGTATTCATCCAGCTCTACACCTGGTTATCTCAGATTCTCCAGCAGCAGCAGTTTCTGCTATCTCTGTATCTATGGTGTGGTGCCCAGAACTGCTCCCCTAATTCAGCTCTTATACCCCCCACCACTTGTATTCTATTTCTCCAGATGTAAAAGTCAGTGGTACATTAGTTTTTGAATTTTCACTGTTTCCAGCTTTTCACCATTTAAAAAGTACTCTGTTCCATTACTAAAACTGACAAGAAGAGCTTTTTTATATACAGAAAAAAAGAAGAGAAAGGTCAAAATGAAAATAGGCCCCTTAGAAACAAATCTGGTGAAATAATTATAGGGAAAAAAGGAAATGGCAGAGGAGGTGAACAGATATTTTGCATCAGGCATAATGGTGGAAGATACTTCAAACTTCCCAATGAAACTAAAGATGACTGGGAAGGAATTAAGAAAGACCACTATCACGGGAGCTGTTGTATCAGGTGAAAGACAGTTAAGTACCCTAGTCTTGATGGCTTGCATCCTAGGATCCTAAAAGAAAAAGCTACAGAAATAGTGGATGCAGTTGTTGAAATTTTCCAAAAATTCCTGCATTTTGGAGAAGTACCGGAGGATTGGAAAACTGCCCATATGACTCTCTTATTCAAAAAGCTCCTTTAAATGAGAGTATTTACACATGAATCAGCACCATCTTATCACTTAGTAAATCCTGCTTGCCATCACTGCTGCTTTTGCTGACCTCAATTGATTCCTGGCATGCAGTAGTTCAGATTTTAAATTGTTACTTTTTTTCCCCCCAATGCCTTCATGGTCATCCCCCCACTCTCAGAACATTGTTTCTTCACCTCTGGCCTCATGTGCATCT